GGGGGGGGAGGAGGACATCTGTGGGATTTAAAAATTGGTCAGGTTTCGGAGGTTGGGTGCCATGGTGTACGTGTAGGTAGACTCTGCCAAGAGGGAATTGATTTGAAGATTTGTCTTCAGATCATGAAATTAATTTCCTTTTATTTCTGTGTAAATCAAAGATGGAACAAGTATTGTTCATACCTTGTATTAGGTTCCAGGGGTATTACAAAAATTTGAAAATTAATACTTCATAAGTTTCGAAACGTATGTTGGCACTTATTCGTTCGTGTACGAAACACTGGGAAAGAAAAACTTCCATAATTATGGCTTTAAGGTATATATTTTTTAAAATAACAAAACAACATGAACGTGAGGGGAAAGGGGGGTTTAAGGGATAGTGATTGCTCTGCCTAGATGCAGTGGTGTCACTTAATAAGATGGTGGTTCACAAAATAGTGTTGGTCCCCGCGGGATGGTCTAGTTGTTTCAGTCAACGAACCCAACCAAATACGGAGCACTACAGATCTGTACTTAATGCTGCGTATACTTGACAGCACCAAAGATCTCCCTCAACAATTTAACGGGCTGGGTTGACAATTTATACACAAGTGTGAAATTTTCATGATTGGATTTTTTTGGATGAAATATCCTTAGCTTTTGAAAGTATTGAAATTTGTATTTTTTTAATTTCAAACGTAAATGGACACCAACGCTTTAATGACTAAACTGAATTAATTGGCCCAATTTATAGCTTTCTCTTGAAATTTACTCGCATGTCACAGTCGCCCCCTTTCGCCCTCTGGAACCTCATTGGCGCGCTGAGTGACGTCGCATGTGTGAAAGCGACATGAAGGCTCTTTACTCATTGATTTGATGACCCTGATCCATTTATCATGTATTTATAGATATTCACGAATAACGTGGAGCTTTCCTCTCCTCTCCTCTCCATGCGGCTTGTTCTAGACTATATTTCAGCATTGTAGCTGCTATCTAGCAATACCGAATGAAACACAGGACCTCATTACTTGCACGGATTGACTACGTCTTTTTTGGAATAATAAAAAATAAGTGGAAGCTTTTGTGACTAAGTAGAATAATGTAAATTATCATACGAGTAACGTGTAACTCGTCGTCGTATTTAAGAAGGGAAGAATGTTGCTTGTAGTGTAGACGTGCCTCTACTGGCACGGGACTTCTACCTCGATGTGAATGCTCCGAGTTTGGCGCCGGGCCGGGCCGGGCCGGCCATTCTCCAAGACGTGCCCCCTCTCCCCGTGCTCCTGCGCGCCGTGGGCGGCCGGCTGGCGGGCTGCGGCGTTTCCGCAGCGTCGAGGAATGCGCTCGCCCCCCACCCCCTCCCTCCGCTCCGAGCCCTGCCGCCTCCGCACGCGGGCGGCCTCGCCCCCTCACGATGCGACCGCTGCAACGGCACGCCGCCGGGCGCGTCACGCAGGGCGCGGAGCGGCCGCTGGCTTCCTCCATCTTCCGCCCGCTTCCATCTTGCCAGCCGGGCGGATACAGACTGCATCCCGCGGTCGACTTTTCCCAAGCCGTTTACCCACTTCACCAAATAGTCATACCCCCCAGCATCCTGTTGTTTTCCTCCTAGTGTAAGGATTGATTTGTACCTCATCATAGTCTTGGTATTAAGTTAATCGATGTTGATTCACTTTTGTCAGTTTTCAAGAAATATTTGCACGTCCTTTTAGAGCGCTACAAAGTTGAAAAACGCTCTTAAAAGTTGTGTGGAAACGGTTTGGGATCTCCTATCAAGAATATCTTCTTGCCTCTGCTGACTTTATATACACAATTCCGAAATTTTGCCATGTTCGTCTGTGTTAGGGTATTTCTCTGGGCTCGTGCATGGAAATCTATTTTCGTTAAGTATGAATGAAAACAATGTTAACTCCTTCCAAAGTGTCGGATGAATGAGACTGTACGTAGTCGGGCTATGAATTCTCAGGTAACAAGAAGTGAAAGGGTATTATTTGGGAAGCGGGGGTGAGGAAAAAACTGGTAACGAGATGGAAGTTCCTTTCTAAATGTATTTTTCTACAACATTAGTGTTGAAATCATTTACTTATTTATACACTTAGATCAACAAATTACATTTTGCGTCGTGATCTTGACGGACATGTGAATTATAATAGAATGACAGTGTTAGTAATGTTAGATCTTCAAATACGCGTCAATATTACTCTTTACCAGTCGCAGACCAATCCGAGAGGATGTCAGTGGCTGTGTTTTTTCTGTCTTAAATTTCGATAAGTTACTGCGTCATCTCTTTGGACTTCTATTATTAGAACATTTCCTACCCTAGATATTTTTCAATGCTAATTGAGTATTTACAAAACAATTCGAAACCGGCGTCATGCGTAATCTCTTCGTGAAAACTAAGATTTTCTTTCAGCTAGGCCTGTGTTTAGGTACATTGCTATCTTATTTTAGTACGTTGTGCAACCGAAGCAACATTGTAAATGCTGAACTATAGTTATTCAAATAGGGCCTGGCCATCTTCGACCCCGCGGTAAGACTGGAAGTACAAAAAAGGATCAAAATATAGGAGACTTTGCCAGATGCCAAAAATTGAAAGTATTTTAGGACAAATGATTGCAATATGACTAAACACATACAGCACCAGTTATTACAAAGTCCGGTGTCAGGTTGTTTTCTGGTTAACCCCCGAGGATAAGTTTAGAATCATGATCTACACCTGATGTAAACTGAAATCAATCTAAATCTGTGGCCTGGGTAAACTCTAAAGCCATTCCGTAAACTAAGCAGACCTTTGTATACCTCTGACTGATCTAACAGTAAGCATTATAAGGGCCATCTATCTTAGTACCTACATTCCATCTTTATTTCTGACAGTGTTAGCGTGGATAATTTACTCATTCAATGTACGAAACTCGTATACGCTGTGCAGAATTCAGAGCTCGTCGAAGCAAATAGTGCTGTGGCAGTTGTTTTCTCCAAATGTAGTGCCATTATATTAGGGTACTACTAGTTTGGGGGTACGTAGCGAAGATTTCAGGGCACCCTATTAGTATCTTCTTCAAATAGTTTGTTAAAGTCGTATTACATTTGTATATGAATATCAACATGGTAAGTTGGCACATGAAACAATAATTAATTTCTGCGAAATTCTCGACAACTCATATTTTCCTGCAGTTGGACCTTCATGTAATTAAATTCGTGTAGAATAAAAATAAAAAATAAAAAAAAGTTTAAAAAAAAATAAAAAGTGTAGAAGCCTTCTCTAACACGTAGCTCAGGAAGGCAGATCCAATTGAGAGGGAGGAGATGCGGAGGGGAATGAGGGTACTGCGTTGGGAGGTGACGTGGGCGCGGAGGCGCGCGGGTCAAGGCGACCGGGCGCTGTTCGGCCTCCGCAGCCGGCACCGCTCACCCGCACTCAGGTTTCTTCCTGTCGGAGGATTTTTCTAGATGTCTGGTTGCCGCTAACATTCCTTAGTCCTCCGGCGTCCGACCGTCCTACTACCACAACATGAATATTGTAACATAAAATAATATTTATAATAAAATCGAACACTGATGAAAATCTTGCCGGAACACCTTTTTAAAATGAATCATGGTTATCTCGAAACTAAAAACGAAAATTTTAGATATCTATATTTATACAGATTAGATTAAGGGTAATAAATTTCAAACGTAACTGCTTTCTGCCAAGCGTAAGAATTTTAATTAAAAATACGCAATGTACACGTATAAACTTATAAAAGTAATGAATATTTTCAAATTCTCAGAGCCGTGAGAGATAAACAAATTATCATTTTACACAAATTGAATGTGTATCTGTGATAATACCAGTGCCGTTTATGAACTTATACTAGATATGTGAAGTATGAAAAGAGTTGGACGAGGAACTATGGGAAACTTCGCCGCAGACTTGAACAGATTACTTTTTTGTATAGTCTTGTTTAACATTGCCAGTGATCTCTCCTTTGGAGAGGTTCAGATCTGAATGAGAAGGAAAAGTCCTGCTGAATGAAAAGGAGAAATGCTTATGAGAAATCGTGCATAACAAATGTAAAACGTATTCTGTAATTTTATCAGAACTGTACACTTAGTCTTCGTGTCAGCATGGAGGCTCTCGGAGATAAAGGTTGATGAATTATTTAGCACCTTAATATTTGTCCTATGAACATGAAAATTTATTGCACGTTTTTGCAAAATCCAACACTTCCATGAGACGATGCTGTAGCCCATAGAAATACTTCCGCAAAATTCAAGGCAAAGCATTTTCCTCAAGTCAAGAATTATTACAACTTGAAAAAACCTTTCTTGAATAGGCAGGTAATTAGTCGGATGAAATAAATCCCTCTTCCAAGAATCCTTAAGCCGAATGAGATTTTCACATTTACAACACAATTTCCACGAAAGGATTGGATGTTATGTGAATACTGAACCACAACTTTTGATAGAAGATAAATAATTTTTCTTACATTTTACTCCAAGTTATTTTGCTTTGTATTTGCATTAAAAGTTTTACAAAAAAGATTTATACTGATGTAACGTGAATTCTAAGAAAATCAAAAATGATTTTCTAGAGTTTAGTTCCTAAACATTAAGTTCATTGCTGCTGCCAAGGGTGTTAACGTGATTCTTGACAATCAGCCGAATATTGGAGTAATTTCAGTGTTTTAGGCACGGCCCTCAAAAACAATCTTATGATAAGAATAGTAGTTGTTTTTTTTAATTTCAACTTGATCAACGCGTTCTGAAAGAGAAATGAAAGCCAAAGAACACTTACAGATACTACAAAAAACATTAACTTAATTATAATTATTCTGGAAATGAATTTTCACGGATTTTTCGAATAATAAAAAACTTTATTAAAACTAAGTTTAAATTAGACGAATTATAAAAAAGATATGTTAATTACCATTGCAGGTTGCATACTCCAACGAGCGACATTTAATAGATGAAAAGTGTCGTGAAAGGAAAAAGTAGAAAAAAATTCTAGATTTTAACGAGCATTCCTTTTGTGATTGCAGAACTCGAGACCCCTGATAAGCTGGAGTACCAGTTCCACCCGGTGACCTCCGGCTCGCTCAACTTCAAAATCAAAGCGCCCAATGATGCGCACGTCGCCCTCACCGCTGGACCTGAGGAGGCAGACCCCATGTACGAGGTGAGATTGGATTTCCTTCCTACGTTTTATTTTATTGGTATTAATGCAAAGCGAACACATAATGAGACGAGAAGTTAGTAAGAAAATCCAAAGTATTATTTGCTCAAAATGAATTTACAGAGAATGAGAGAACAAATGTTTAGTTGGAATTAAATGTTATTATTAAAATTATTCAAAATAATAAAGATCAGGGACATTAATGCTGTTCTGAGAAATACTAAAGAAACTAATTATTGTGAAATTTTTTGTTTAGTTTATACATCACTTCGAATCTATTCCAAAAGCTCTTCTGTGCACGTTAGCTTCACAAATATGTGGTAAATTAGGCAAATTGTTTTCAGCGTATAATCCAAAGGTCATGTAAAACTGCTTTATTTAACATAATGTTGTGTCCAATAAGTTTTTTTTTGTTTTTAATTATCCGAATTAGTTGCGCTGACACATGCGCCGTGAAGTGAACGGATGTCGAAAAGATTCGTCTTGCTATTAAGGAATTCGTGTCAAGGATCTGAGAAACGCTGGGAGACTAAGAATTTGGAAATATTGCATAATCTGTGTGTGAACGTGTGTTTAACTACTACGTGCATCTGCTGTTCTTCGCTGTAAGTACTTTTCCTCGACCGGATAAATATCACGAGGCACGTTTGCAACACGTCACCTCGGCTGACGAGAATGCAGAATTACGAGGATTTATAAATAAACGCTGACGTAATGTTATGACGTGTCCTGCATAGCCCGTAGTATGTGATACGTCATTGACCGGTTTTCGACGTCACTTGAGTGATGTCACTTTAGATTCTTGCCCATCGTACCTCTCGTGTTTATTTGTAGTAGTTACAAAAATCGACATTACTCAAAGGTAAGTTAAAGTTCCTCGTGAAAAGATAATCTAATGCACACAACGCAAGGTCGTAAGCCACACTGCTGGTGAATCACTCGCTACTGTTGCTATGTAATGTTGCGTACAAAAATTATTACTTTTCAACTAAACTGCGTGTTATTATATTATATTAATTTAATTAATCGCCAGCGCCGATTGAATTATTTTTAGTGCGTCATTGCTTATGACACAAGCCATCAACGACATAAGACAGCAAGGTTCAAGGAAGTGTGCGCCCGCCAGAAATGTTTTTCATGCATTGCGAATTGGAACAGAAATTTCTTTGATATACACTTATAGTATATAAAAATCCTGTTCTAATACTTATTTCAGTATTTGTGAAATGTTCGTAAACATTTTAATTATTGCAGAGTCAGAGTATTTTATTTATTCTTCAGCAGTATGTGTGCTACTTTATGGGAAACTATTTTTTGTGGTGTTATGCAGTAAGTTTTGCTGCTGCAGGTGACAATTTTATAAAATTGTTTAAAGTTGACATCTCTAATTTTTATGTTAAATGTTACAATGTAGACATAGCTTTTTTACACATTTTTATGTGTAAAATATGGCAATAACTTTTCCGATTTTTTAAACTCCAAATATTTTAGATTTCTGTTCTGATGACTCTCCGGTTAAAAATTTCAACTCTAAGCGAAGGGCCAATCCAAACTACACAAAGCCCAATCCAACCAGACATTCTTGGCTAACCCAAACTAACGGTCAAATGGAGGCGAATGGTCAACCGGAACTAATCCAAACCACACCCAATGCAAGCCGGCATTGTTGGCGCAGGTGTTCATCGGCGGCTGGGGCAACACCAAGTCGGTGATCCGGCGCGACCGCACCAAGCCCGACAAGGCGGAGGCCGAGACGCCCGACATCCTGTCCGGCGACGAGTTCCGCGGCTTCTGGCTGCGCTGGAACGGCGGCCTCATCGAGGTGGGCAAGGAGGGCGAGGCCGCGCCCTTCCTGTCGTGGCAGGACCCCGAGCCGGCCCCCGTCGGCCACTACGGCGTGTGCACCGGCTGGGGCGCCAGTGGCGCCTGGGTGCTGGACGGTGAGTCGCCCCACCCCGCTCCCGCTCCCGCTCCCGCCCTCGGCCTGCCTGCCCACCCAGCTTCTCACCACACTCGTACCCAGTGATGCCAGCATTCGGTATTCATCTTGCATCCAATGCGAAGGTTAGGTCAGGGCTCCTTAACCCTCGTACCCAAAGGTTTGATTTTCTATTGAGTCACTAGTCAGACCCGACTCGCTTAAATCTTTGTGTTAATTTAATGTTCTTAAAATCTGATTGTATAGTAAAATTTAATTACATAAATTTTATCTTCCAGAATTTGGAATAGAAATTAGTGATAAACAATTGATCTATCAATCTTCAATCAATATACTTTCTTCCTTAACTGACGTTTTGGTTCAAATGGCCGTTACTTTTGTAAATATAGACTTAAGTTTGTTTGTTTTCGAAAACAAGATGAAACAAAACGAATAAAAATGCCACAGTAATAACTAAACGCGTTTAAGGAAGACCTAAATTGTTGGAATAGCAGTTCAAGGGAAGGAAGATCAAGGGAGTTGATAAATTTCTTTTTGTCACTTTTCCAAACGAAGTGAAATGTCGACGAGTTGGCAGCACTGGGTACTCCACTGCAAGGAACCGACCCACGGTCCCTCTAGATTGCTCCCTCAATTGAGACAGATGGGATGAAATCTCTCCAGGCGATGGAGCCACGTGGCCTCGTGCGTGGGATTAGTCTCTGGCCTCTTCGGCGTCCGTTGCATCGTACGATGCACTTGGGCCCAATCAACGGTTCACGTGACAAGTTTCCAAACGTTCGTCTGACTCACTCAGCTCAAGGACTCATGTCTAGTGTCACGAGATTCTGAACAAGATAGTCATAGGACAAAAGTGTGTACAGAATAATAAAATTCGGTGGCGTCGCTTGGTTGATGGGATCCCCAGTTGAACGTTTGGTTTATCTCCTCCATATTTTTTCCATTAATAACAATATTATAGTACTGTAACAGTAAATTATATTTTCCTTTGGTTAAAGTGTTTCTTTAAACTTTCTAGTTATTAAAAGTTTAGTTTTAATTTTCATGATGTGAAAATTTATTAACTTAATCTCCCGTCAATGAAGTGCCCACGTTCAGTCCAATATTCAGTCATTTAATGGTGGCAATTCATTGGGGTGATGAAGCTTTGCTGAATATTGACCTCGTTAACAAAGTGGTGCATACACTACAAGCTTTAGCACGACTACATGGCGTGGTGTTTGAGTTTTGGATTGCGGTGCCTTCTAGAATTGCCACCATTTCTGAACGTTAATTTCTATAATCATCTAAAAATGGAAGGAAACTTGTTTATACGCCGAACTATGTGGTGATATCGATGACCTGGGTCAGTTCATGTACAGTCTTACCTTGTATTGACATAAGTTGGATCGTGATATGCATGTTATATTATGCGAGTACCTATTTGCCCTAATTTTTAAGAACTGTGTATTGATTTATATACCTTGTTGATTTGAACTTGCAGAATGCCCGCTTTAATAGTCCCAGAAGAGCATTAAACGAATTTCCACATCTCTATATTCAGAACTATACTATGTGCCTCTGAAAATTACATCCATAGTGTTACTAATATTAACAAACGATTAGAATTTAATTTTTCGAAATTAGAGTACGTTATATGAATTCAATATGTCAGTAATTGTAATTTGATTGACAGCAATTTCATTGGAAAAAAAGTTGTGTAAATTATTAAACACCGATTAGTTTGTTTTACTTTTCATCGTAGAAAAAATATGGTTCAATTAAGAATACTTTCTTGACCGCCACTCTGTTACTTAATTCTTGCTGTCACTGAAGCGAAAATTTCCCCCAATCTACATATCTAATGTTCTATTTTTAATACAAGCTTCAGAAGAGTAATGTTGCAAATATTGTTGCAACTTTTTAAGTACAAGGTAAAAAAATATCATGGGCTTTATTAAAAAAACTAACCTCATAGAGACGGTTAGATAGAGATGTCTGTTTCCACGAGATTCTCTCTTCACGGGACAAGTGCTCGACGTCCTCCATCTGAATTCCTTAATCAGTCCGTGCGGCACCTTAAGGTTTCACCTGGAGGGCCGCAGTCTCTGCAAAGCACATGGTAAAGGCGAGAGCATTCTGTTTGGGTCAGTCAACCACCTGCACTAGCGCATATTGCGTGCAAGAACCGCACGAAGGGTTGCCAGGCATTTTGAAGACACTTTTATCCAGAAGTAAATTCGATGAGGAAACATCGAAAGCGACATCTAGCATGCAGCATGATTATCATAAACATTAAATGAACTGTAAATAACTATTTTTTCCTTAATTAGTTTTATTCCATAGATGTGGCAGTGTTAAAAATTTTAGTTTAAAATGTTACTTATCCGTGCTATCTCGGTTGCAGTTCTGATTTATCAAAATAGAATTACTGCATTCTCTGCATTTAAAATTAATACATATAGTTTTTTCGACTAAATACCACTAGTTACTCTTTAATCATGAAGCAAAAATCTCGTTGCAATTTTAGTAGTTTCGTACTACTTAAAATTGGGAATTAAGATGTCTAACTGAAACAAGGAAAATGTGCAAATGCACAATTTTTAGTAAACAAAATTTTGTCTTGCTCGTTTTCGATTTGGGAATGTGTGCTGGAGTCGCTTCAGATCTTTCTCTCAAATCTTCCCAAACCTCATGAACAACTGTAACGGAACGCCCCTCCCCGCCCCTTCAAAATGCGCCTTCTGGCAACCCTGCCGCCTGGCACGTCGCATGCGTGCCGCTGGTCTGCACGTTCGCCTCCCTCCCCGACCGCGCGGCAGGTGGCCACGAGGTGCAGACGGCCGACAAGCTGGAGTACCAGTTCCGGCCGGTGCCCGTGGGCGCCCTGGAGGTGTTCGTGCGCACCCCGTCCAACGCGCACATCGCGCTCACCAAGGGCCCCCAGGAGACGGAGCCCATGTACGAAATCATCCTGGGCGGGTGGGAGAACTCTGCCTCGGTCATCCGCTACAACCGCGAGAAGCCCGATAAGGTAGCGCCCGATAAGGAGCCTGGGGGCGGCGAACGCGAGGCGCTGGAGGAGGACCCTCGCTGCTCGCTCACACTGGAGGACGCAGTTAGACACGAATTGCTGACACTCACTTGACCCGACCAAACGGGTCTCAAGAAAGTTGGGTACTTTCATTAAGGATCTGGTACTGTTGCATTGATACAAAGCCATAACGCATACGTCATTATATATTCACTCTAGAATGTCAGGATACGTTAGAAATGTGAAAATGGGGTAGATAATATAGTGGACACTTTTGGCTACGTTGTAAAGATGAAAAATTAAATATAGGATTTGCTAGGTTTAGAAGTGGCGAAGACCCCAAACGCAGTCTCACTTATTTTGCATTACATATTTATTATGATTCTGTAACCGGTAGGATGAGGGGGAAGTCTCAGAAATACGAATCCTTAGAAACCAATCGCAACTCTATGAATTCTAAAATGTTTGTAGTTTTGCTGAATATTAGTATAAATTGTGAAGTATCGTGAAAATCGGAATACTTCGATCTGATTAAGTTTATACTAGTTACAACGGTTGAAAGCACACGCGTACCAGACGTCATTTATAAAATATTGGGAGACAAAGTACAATTGTACGAAATGATTTGCACTTGCTGGCTAAGATTAATGAATGACACGCATTATTGAAAACTGGTAATGAGACAAATGTTAAGGCTTACCTAAATACGAGTAACCTGTACAGCCTAATTACGAAATTGTCCAGTTAGAGGAAGATTCTGATTTCACCTCAACAATTATTCATTCCAAATTTTTCCCCTTAAGGACGAATGGAATGAAGCAGTAACTTAATAGAAACGTTCAAATATTAAATTGAATTTTAAAAATCACAATCTCCTATTGTCGGATGAAATCTCACGTTCAGTCAATGCTCACTTTCCTGGAGAGTAAATGGAAATAGCGCGGCTTCAGTCGCGATGTTTGAGTATAGGTTGCCCAAGGTTTCAGAAAGCAGTCTGGTGTAGTTGACGTAGCCTCATATGTGGTTTACATGTGCTGGATCGCTTTGAACAGTACACTTTCATCACATGAGATTCGTCCATACGACCTTAGCAAGCAGTAATGAACTTTTTGAAGGCAGGTTACTGAACATACGAAATACATGCTCACTTTTGCTCCACAAGGGTTCGTGGCTTTTAGAGCGCATGAACGCAGAGGGGGGGACCTCTCAATGTAATCGCATTCTGCATTACCTTAAATTAAAATCGTCCACGAAGTAAAAATTCTGGCATATCGTCAAATACGTTAAAGGATACTCTCTATTCTGAACCCGACACTCTCTGCTGAAGTGTCAATAACCTTATGACGCATTGGGGACACGTAACTCCAGCAGACACGGTGACTGGGTAGAGGATTGATCAATCGTGTTACTTCCTGTGTTCTCATTCTCAACGAATTAATGACAGAAGAAAACGATCGCGCTTTCAATTGGGTAAGCCCTGAATGTCATTATAATAAAAACATTAACATATACGTTAAGACACAAACGTGTACTGTTAACACAAACATCGACATACCATTCATAATGGCCGTCAACGTAAAACCCACACGTCGATATTGATACAGCAACTTTTCGGCCTAGACCTAAAATATTACCGAACGACTTGAAGTAACGTGTTTTGATGAAAATTATTTCGGATACCATGAGCGCCACAAATGGATCATTTTAATGCTGAATGACAACATACGCTCCTACAAATGTAGTCCTGTCCAAAGAGACTAGAAGTTTTTTGGCTTTAGCTGCAGTACACGATAGTGTTGTCAGATTGGCGTAAACGCGAGCGTGAGAACTGACAGCTTGGTAGCCTAGTGCTTGCAAACTTTCACGGTTAAGTCTTAGGCTCATGTCCACCCGTGCTAACGAACGGTCTTCGATATCATGGCAGCAACCTTTTATGTTTGCTTCATTGTAAATGAGGCCGAATGGTGAGGCCCGAAATCTTCCTCCAGCTGGACAATCCACGCGAAAGCAAGGGTCCTCCATCCGGTGCGCCGCGGGGGCGGGGGGTGGTCCGCGCCGGGGGCACGCTGTTAACCCTTTGGGGGGGCGGGGCCGAAGGTCCGCGAGGACACGCCGGGGCTGCTGGGCTCCGACGACTTCCGGCGCTTCGAGGTGCGCTGGGAGCACGGGCTGGTGTCGGTGCGAGCGGGCGCCGGCGGCGGGGCGCCGCTCATCCAGTGGCGCGACCCGGCGCACATCGGCGTGACGCACTTCGGCGTGCGCACGGCGTGGGGCGCCTCCGGCCGGTGGCGCCTGCGCAGTTCGCCGCGCAGGCAACTCTGCCCCAAGGTACTCCCTCGACCACGCCCGCCTCTCCCTTCCCCTTCCCCTCTCTCGCCCCCCACCCCCCCGAGGGGGACGGACTGGGGCGCGTTCAAAAATAACTTTAGCTTTTACTGGGGGGAGGCGGGGGTGTAGGGTGGTTTCCCCAACTACTGCGACGAAAACGAACGAAAGGGAAAGATTGATAAAAAAAGCGTTTTCTCGCAAATTTTTATTTACTATTACAGTCAAACTACAGGCGCAATGCTGAATTTTTTTTCTAGATGGGAAGAGGGACTGTTGTCGAAATGTCCAACAGACTTGAATGTTTTATTATAATGGAATGTGTAATTTATGAATTTAAAATATATTTTTGTTTCTTGATTTATTCTAACGCAATCACTTGGTATCGAGTGATTTCAGTTACTGTATAAAATAAGTAAAACACTATTTTTCAATATGTCATCTGCTTCTGGAAAAGGGTGATGGAAACCCTAGGAGCCCCTTTCCTTGCGAGCGGCACTACTATGAGCGTATTAATTAAATCTCTGTTAAAAATTGCAACGAAGTCTCACAATTTAAACTCTATAAAGGGGAAGAATGGATAACATTGAGGTTATGATTGAAGACTTCTTTACAGAAGGTGGTTGGGGTGTAAAAGCTAAATACTCCCGCTCGTATTTTTTGAATGGTCCCGGATACATTGGGCCCCTATATGGAAATAGTCATGAAAAGGAGAAAACGGGAGAAAACATATCGAAATGATCTCCAACCCGTCCTTAAATGTTAATGCTTATAAATGTACATTTTCACTAGTTATTGAAGAACTGAAATCGATACCTATTATGCATAGTTTACAAGGATTGTCAAAAAAGTCATATTTCGTAACTCTTCCACAAAATCAAAAGTAAAGTATATTTCCAAAATTTTATTTAGTTTTTCAAATTATTCAAATTATATTGATTTTCTAAATTTTGCCGCCATGAGCTAAAACTTGATGATTTTGTTCAGATAGTTTGTTTTTCATTTTGTTTGCAATAAGATTCCTTGTGTGAAATTACTGTGGCTGGTAGTCACGAATTTATCTTGACATTCATGTGTACTCTTTTACTAAAATGTACAATTTTCCTTGAGTTTCTTACAGATAACTTACGTATTCATCATCAATACTACTAACGAAAGCTTGGCTCAATGTGAACCTTTGACCATCCCCGCAACATCATACATGTAATATATACCCCTTTCCTCGCCCTCCAATTATTTTCAGTTTGTCCGTTAGACTTGCTAACCGCAACGATTAACCGCTAGTTGGTTCCTACGCTTGTGTGTGCTAACCTCGGGCGCTCTGATGCGGGTACACACCGGGGTCCCATGCTTCGCTGGGAAGCTTGATTCGAACCAGAAAGTAACTGGTCCTCTATTGCTATAACAGTGTCATTAAGTCCTGCTGATAATTGAAGTGATAACCATTTGCGTCCATACAACTCCTAATTTATATTTACACGTTTTGTAATGTATTATCACCAAAGTTACAAAAAAATTCTGCAAATGCCTTCTAATATTGGGCTCGTAAGCATACGAGTGCTTTTAAGGTTTAGAAATTGTGCCTTATAAGCGGACTGCCTTCGGATTGATTCTGGCAATTTCCAAGCATAACGTTATACTCGAGCTTTTCAAATTTTTGGAGTTGTGCAAATAAATATTCATTTCGTGTTAAAAGCAATTAAAGGACAAAATAGTAACTTAAAGGCATTTGAGGGTAAACATCAGAGAAGCTCAGACCTATCATTCTTCTTTGGTGAAGGAAAGCGATATAGTTTGTCCTTTTAGCTAATAGTTTGTGTACAAAATTGGCACACGGTTGTGACGGGGTAGGTATTACCTTACAGGAAATGTTTGTCGACGTGCGATGTTGCCCGAGCACTTGTCACCTTGCACTCCTTGGCTCAATTCGCTCACCAATGTGGAATGTCCTTGCTTTTGTATGTGTAGGATAGTTTAGTCTTTTGTAGATTTCATCATGTTTGTATTTTGTCATGGCATATATTTAATTAAGCATTTTGTTTAGATTTAAGAAATTGTACATTTGTATTTTATTAATAGGATTCAGGGAGCATGCAGTAAGAAGTTTCTGGCTTGTGTTTAACTTTTAACTCCAACTCTGCGGACACTCATCTGAGATGCTAAAAGGATAACATCCAACTTTGTGCATTTCTGAAGCAACTGATGTTGCAAATAGGCACGGTAGCTTAGTCAGGGGCAAAGGAATGGTTGACTAGCACATCTAGCAGCAGAATTAACATTTCATAACAGTAACAATATCCGTGAGTATTTCTGAAACCTAAATGTAGATTCCGCATTCAAATGTCTACGTAAATGATAAAAATGTTGAATTTTTTGGAGTAATTTTCTGTTCATGTTAAATGTTAATACAGAATTTTAGTAGGTTATATTACCGGATAAGTGTTTCCTTGTGTAACCTCTCAGCAAAACGCAAATTGCTTCTGTTAATTACTGCTGCTTTGCAACCTTTCCTTTGTCCCCTCTACGCCGCCGTCCATTCAGTTCCGCAGAGCGCATGGCGACAATTGCACGAGCATGGCCTGAGCTAACGGTTGTGTTGCAGCACGCGTTCCGGGATGGAACATTCCCTCAGCGGCGGACATGATGAGACCGCCCCCTGGTAGGTCTCGCAGGGTTTGTGGGTAGCACGTCAATGAAGCGCTCTCTTCTCTTTGTGAATCTTTCAGAATCTTCTGGCACTAACTGGATAACTCTTTCGGTTTGGTGTTTGTGGGTATCTTGTCTTTCTAGTAGCAATTGCAGAAAAGCATCTAACAGACGCTTTTCTAATACATTTTGCGAATATAGTAATATGAAAAGGATTCGTAACATATCAATGATTTTTAGTGCTGCAATAATCCTCACACATATTGCTAATGTACGATATATGATGGATTGTAGTCCTTTACAGATTACTTGTTCCTATAGGCTAAATTGTGAAAACTCTTTCGGTCGTATAGTGGTCTGCTACTTTGGAAGTTGCATGTACAAGTTATTCTACTATTTTCACATTCGAGCATACTGCATTATGAGAGGATTTGATTTTTGAAACAGTTTTAGAACATTATTTTGAAAATGGTATTAACAAATACGAATTATTTCATATTTTCATAAATAATTACCGTTGCCAAAAATCATAACATCTGTAGTTTTTTAAGCAATTATGGAAGAAAATATTAATTTTCTTAAATTACATAATTAATTACTTCTAACTAACAAAAAAATATTACATCTTCTCGCGTCGAAATCAAGCAAAGAACTACGCCCCACATTGTCTTTCGGCAGTGCACCAGCAGAATGTTTGAGTGTGGTAGTTTTGTTCTTCCTGGTTGATAAAAATCATGAAAGTGCATTTGGCTTTGAAGGCCGCAACAACTCGTGCATGCGACCAGTTTTCCTGGAGTGGCGTGCGCTTGTTTGGCTTGTGGATGTGCTAGTGTGTGCAGCGTCAGAGGGCGGTACGGGATTATCTCGATCGCCCCCTTTGCTTCAGTCTATCTCCACTTCGTGCCTCCTCTGAAGACAGCCCGGTTGCATCCCGATAGGGGTTCGGGGAAGTAGGAAAGCATGCCGTTAACTTAAAATCCAACAAGTAATGTGTTGGTACCAGTAGATGTAAAAATTGCAGATAAATCAGTGTACTTGGATAGAATTTCCGGGACTGTCCTATGTTCAGATATCACAGTAGAATGATGCTGGATATTGATCATAAATTTTGCTTACAAATATTTTAGTGGCGGATCTCAAAATTGGCAGTGCTCCAAAACAACATGCCTCGTGGAAACATACAAAAGTCACAAAAATACGTTATCTGGCCATCTCTTCACGAAAGCGCCGGAATATCTGGAATGCAACCGGCCTGTTTCTTTTTGGAGACGGAGTAAAGGAGCTTGGGATTCTTGTCCGAGAGATGCCGCGTCCCAGGAAAGGTTTCCAATGTTTCGGTCGTTATACTGCCCTCCTTCGCCGAGGAATGCAGAACGCACTACGAATAAAACGTGATCAACCACGCCTGGTACACGGCTTCTCTCGAGCAATTCTGCATCAATTACCTTCGACCGCGGAAACCTCTGGCTGATTTCCACGCTTCCTGTAACGGAACAATTCCGAAGTTTTTTTTGCGAATTGCGAGCATGCAGTGTCGCTTCTGAGGTGCCGGAACACTGCTAAAACAGTTCGCTTAAAATTCTGGAATCGCATGTCAAAAGGAAGGCGTGTAAATCGGGTCAAGGTTCAGGCGAGGTGGCAGTCACAGTGAAGCAGATTTCGGTCGGCCCCTTGTCGGCCGGGCAAAAACCAAACGAAACAGATCTTCATTCGACAACCGATGTTTTCGGACGCCATCGGAAGAGGTCGTTCAAGTAAACGGAGATCGTTTCCTTTTGTAACTACGTTGTTTTAACGGATGTAGAACTTGAGAAAAATCGGCCGACCGAAATGTGTGACGGCCGTCCGGCCCGCGCGTCGCCCGGTGCGGGCCGCAGGGCGTTAGAGTGCGTGCGTGCGTGTTGCAGCGGGCGCGCCCGGGTTCAGCGTGCCGTCGGCGCCGCCCGCCGGCAGCACGCCCACGTGGGTGGACGCGCGCGCGGGCGAGGTGCCGCCCGAGGCGGTGCCCGGCGGCTTCGACGGGGAGCAGCTGTACGTGGGGCGCGCGCAGCACGAGGGCGCGCTCATCCCGGGCAAGGTGGTGCCGTCGCACGGCGTGTGCTACGTGGCCTGGGGCGGCGCCGAGCACGGCAAGGAGGAGTACCAGGTGAGCTCGCGCTCCAAATCTCGCTGACGACTTTCCCCACTTCGGACGTTTGCCAAGGATTTGTAAGGGGATGTAGTTATTACTGTTATTTGTGTCATGGGCTGATCCAGAGATTGGGGGGGGGGATTAAAAAGGTTTTGTTCCAATGTGTCATTACAGATTTGTAAAATGTCGTAAGCTACTTTCAGCTCATGCTGCGATGCAATTTTATTCGTTTTAATGATTATCCGAAACTTTCTTTTTTTTTCTTGAAAGTCTTGTGAAAATTTAAAATTAGTCCTAATTTTAACTACTGAAATTTGTTAGGGGGGGAAATTTCCGGCATTTTCTCTCCGTGGATCCGCGCCTGTTTGTATTCTCTTATTCGTAATGCCGTAACTCTGCTCAATTGTCCTTTTTTTTGCAAGAGAACAGTATGATTCTGAGTGGAGTGGGCCCAAAGACTATTTTTCAGTGTAGTTGAATAGTGACTATCTTCATAATACAACACAATTGGGACTAATACTAGTTTTACAACTTAAATATACCCTAATTAGAATACCTACTTGAACAGTTCTTTAATGTACCGAGTAATAAAAAAAGTTAAATACAAATCTATCAAGTACGTTGGTATGTATTTGTATGAAGTGCATTTGGCACTAAAGTCGTCCCTTAATTTTCCGATATCCGAGTCGCATGTTCCTACTAAACCCGCGCCCGGCTGTGCCGCAGGTGCTGTGCGGCTGCGACGTGACGTGGGTGCCGTCCGCCGGCGGCGAGATCCCGTCCAACGCGCTGCCCTCCGGCGAGACGGAGGACGGAGAGCCGCTGTTCACAGGGCGCGCCCAGCACGAGGGCACAGTCACCGTCGGAAAGGTACGCTCTTTCCCACTTCGCTCTTTCCCACGCGGAGGAACTGTCCATTTGCTTGGACAAGTAGTACTCTGAAGAAATAATTATATGCGTCGTCATTGCCAACAAAATTTATTAAAAAAGCAGCTTTCAATGGCTTAGCCAACGACTACAAGGGTAGTGGTTTTTGTGGCTCCCATACAGCAGAAAAATGATGATGATGATGATGATGGCTAAGCCATCCAAAGCTACTTTTTTAATAAATAATACTGTTGGCAATGACGACGCACATAATTATTTCATTAGAAATGCCAACGATAACTCACCACAACACTTATATACAAGTAGTATTCTACTTTTGAGGCATTGGTGGAATTTCAATTGTAGAAATGAAAGGTGGCTTCTTAAATCTGGCTTCCTGCTGGTAGATGAACATTCAATGGCATAGCCCCCAATTTTTCATGAGCTGTAATACCTTTGTAACAACTGCAGAGCAAAGGTGATTTACATCACAGAATAATTACTTCGTCACTCAAATTATTCAGCAATTGTATCCATAAGAAAATGAAACCTAAGCTGCCGTGACATTTTATTAAAATTCTCACTTAACCCTAACACACTGGAATAAAGTTGAAGAAACGTAAACCAGGCATTGAGTTAAATATTTTGAAGAGAAGAATTCATGATGAAAACAAAAGGTACCTGAAGTGAAGCACCAAAATTCTCAAGAGATGCACCTGATTGACTCTACCAGTTTAGAGTTCAAAAAATACTTTTACATTCTGCAGTTGAAAATTTAATTGTTATTGTAAAAGATTTCATTTCTTGCTACTTTGTAAATAAAACCTAGGTCTTTATGAAAACATTACTTGAAAGAAATGGTAAACCATTTAAGTGTGATCTTAATTTTTTATATCCAGTTTTTTTAAAAATGACCATGTTGTAAAAAAGTAAATGTTTAAAAAAATAAACAATATACTTAGACTAGATCATGAGCTAAGCTGTACTGTTGAGATTATTTACAATATAAATGGAGTACGCAATTTATTTTCCAGGTGCAGGCCAGCCACAATGTCTGCTACATTCCTTATGGAGGTCAGGAGTTGGGCTACCCTGACTACGAAGTTTTGGTTCCCAAGTAGGGTGTTTCTCTCTATATACTTCCTGAAAAGGCTATGAAAACAGCTTTGTAGCTTATTGTTGGAGTATAGGTCTAAAAATGTCATTTTAGAAATGTTTAAAAATGTTGCCAGTACGATGCACTGAGAAGCAAGCTTCCATGACTGAGAATTTGTGTTACTAGACTGATTGCTTTAAATCTATTACTTGTATGTAATGGAGGACATGGCCTTCAGTAGATTTTCCTTCAATTTTGGAACTTCAAATAGTGCACCCTACTTAGTATAGACCATATCTACTTCGTGTATTTACTAATGTCTATTACTTTGTGTCATTTCTGAATTGTGAATCTCCCTTTTGAAGGTGAGTGATAAGCTATGCTTTGGTAAATGCTATAAATGTTGTTGAATTAAAAAATATATTTTTGATTTACATATTACCAGAGCCCAAAATATATTTTTGGATCAGATGATTTGAAGCTGTATGAAGTAGTCTGTATTCACTTCGCAAACAGTATATTAAACACAATTTAATAGGTTGCCTCATTGTATGGCTTGTTTATACAATACTCCACTCATTATAATATTGGCTTACTTGTGAAGTAATAAAATATCATTTATTAAATACTGTCTTGAACTTATAATTGCTCCACGAGTCACACTTTTTTATTCCTCTGGATACTCTGTTCTTTCAATGTAATCAGCTATCCACCTTTTCTAAAGTTCCTGTTGTTCCCACCAGCAACACAGTATCACCTGAAAAAACGATTGTTAATGTTTTGCATTTAAAAAAAAGTGTGATAAAGTGATTTATATTCATACCAGTCTTAAAATGATCAGTAGCTCCTTCAACTCCAACAATACACGGTAAACCATATTCTCGGGCAACCACAGCTCCTGTAAACATTATCCAGAGTAATTATTATGAATTTCAAATGTATGCATGAATGTACAGAATAAGGAAGCCTCTAACCTTGTCAGAGGTGCCAAAGATTTCCTTAGGTTAGTAGGTACTTGGGGTGCGGTGGGGGTGGGGAACAGAAATGAGAAAGTTTCAATTTTGACTAAAAAATGGAAAGATATAATATTCTACCTCCTCTGATTCTACATACACTGTCACTGCATATGACACGGTTGAAATCATGTGGAAGCAAGGCTCCAAGGAAGAGGCCTTCACCCATTAAATATTTGCTATTTATCTATTACATTATTGAACAACTACTTTTTTATATTGGTATACAAGAACCGTTGTACTGCTTAATCCATGTGTAGTACTGTTATTGCAGTATTCATGAAGACTGTTAAAATATTTTTTTAGCAGTTATATAATAGTGTTTTATTTGTTAAGTTTCCAAGCTTCTTTGTGGTATTAGTTTTGTGTGGTTTGGTTCAACTGAAGGCCACAAGTAGATTATTAAACATGTTTCAAAATTCTAAATGAAATTGTACTTCACAACATATAAACTTTTCACAATCATCAATTCTAATTGTAAACAAATAAATTATGGTTATGGTATATTGACTGAAATTTTCTCAAAACTAATCACTAAAAATTACTTGAATTTTTAAATTTTCATAAATTGTATTTTGTATTTTCACTGCAGGATGTTTTTTTCTTTATTCTTTTCTTTCCTTTCTTTTCTTTTCCTTTTTTTCTTTTTTCTTTCTTTTTTTTTCCCATCAGGAATTCTGCAGTTTTCATTTGAACAACCCTAGTTCTTGGAAGTAATTTTTCCCCTCAGAATTACTAATAGTCACTTGTCAGTTGTTTTGGGGGAAAAAAAATGGTATATTTTAGACATTCATTTTAAACAATTTAATTTTTCCAACCGAATTATTTTGTCCATATTATCCATTATTTTCTTTTTTTATTACAATGGAAATTATAATGGTTGTATTTGTGCTAGCAGAAATGTGTAATGAGGACTCCTAAGGTGAGATAATTGTCTTGATTTTTGCGGTGTAGCAGTGGTAACTTTTAAGAAATTTCTTTCTAAGATATTTCTTTCTAATTCCCTTGGCTTTCAATTATATTGTCTTGTTTTGTGATATTAGTTTTTCATTCTGATGTATTTTGTTGTTGTTCAGTCAGCACCTGACTGGGCATTAGGATTTGTGTATCATAAGGTTCACATAGGTCGCTAATAAGTCATTCAGCATATTACAGGTAGCTCTTGGATAGATTCATTTTTAGTACAGGTTGTTTTCGGTTCTTTGATGGATTGCCACTGCAAGAAGGCAGCGCAGGATAAAGGAGTTAACTCCTTGCACCACGTAAGGACGATAACAGGCACTAATTTCGGCTGAAAAACTGCATTTGGAATTTATCAATATTAGCAATTAATAATTCCTGTACTGTTAGGTCTTTGAAGCACGGTCAGAGAAGGTGGTGTTTTTTGTTGTTTTTTTTTTTTTTTTTAAGATTTCGTCGCGGCCTGAATGCCACCGGAATTTAAATGCGCAGTTCAAACATCGCAGATGCACGATACAGAGATGTAATTTGCACGCATGTCAGTCAATTCACAAATTAAAGATTTTTTTTTAGTGTGTATTCGAAAAGTGTGTGTGCTTCGGCAAAATCTAGAAAGATCCCAACAGTTTAAACTCGTAAGCACAATCTTCTAGTCGTTGTAGAGAAGAGAACTCGTCATGAATCTGCTGGATAGAAAGGAAGCTTTTCTCATGAAAATTACGCTAGAAAATGTTAATATACTTGAGAAGACTGTGACGGATTTTCCCCCACATGAAATGTATATTTTTGAAGTGTGCACAGAGTGAAGAGTATATTTTAAATATGACGTAACTAGCGTATCCTAAAAGCGTAGTTGCGAAAACCACGGTGTACACAGAAAGCATAAATAGTATAACTTCGTTCAGGAGTTATTTAACGATGAGTGCGGCTGGTTCCGTTTTAGATGAATATTTAAATGCGTTTTTTAAAACAAATCCTTCATATTTTTTCAAGTCAAGTGCAATTCGTCCCGTCTCAGTGAAATTCTTTCTTTAGAAACCTCATTTATAAAGATCGGTTGCGTGTGGGAGCCGCAAAAGGAATGTATACTACTGAAACAATGTAGGAAACGATGAGGTTTCCCTATTGTTAAAAAAGCGGTTCAAAACCAGACGTTTCTTAATTTTTCAACAAAATTCTTTCTTAGATTTTTCAAAAGTCTTTAAGATTGTTTCTAACATGTCAATAAAGGTGCGTAAATGACATAATCCATTTTTAATAGATCTGTAGCTAATAATTTTAAGTACCTTGCATACATAGTTTACAGGTCTTGGGATACCTTAGACCCTAAAACTAAAAGCTATTATTAGAGCTGTATGTGGATTTGGGAATATTATCCATCTACAGTTGGACAGTCGAGTAATTTCGTGAGTTGTAAATTTAAGGAAAACACGCATTTCATAATTTGGTAAAGGTAAGACAGTTTTGCAGCCTTCTTGTAGTAAGGTGATGCAGTTACTGATATGGTCAACTGATGGAAGTCACTATTTCCTCTAATCCAGGCACCTCAAACCGCGCCCTCAGGAGCTTCTTGCTCGAAAGCCTTGCATTCCTGCGAACGCGGGCAACTTCCCCCAGGCCGCTCTTATTTCCAGAAAGGAGTGTACATGCACAAGCTGAAAGTGACCAAGGAAAGGAATATTGGCTTCATACAAAAATGTTTGTATCCTTTTTCTATCAAACAATCTAGATTTGAATTACGTTTATGATATTTACTATTTATTGCTGTTTCAGGTTTATTTTCTTTTTAAATTTTGCCAAATTATGCCTTTTATAAACTTTTTTGCCAAGGAACAGGGGTAGGTTTGATTGGCGAATTCGATCCTTGTTTCCTTTTCTCTTATTGAATCACGAGATGAAGTATCGCGCATTGTAGGGGTATTTATCATAATTTATTAGACAGGAAGAGGAATTCTATCAATTCCTGCACTGCGGCGTTGCCTACTATTTTGCTATATGCCCACTCCACCTTGCCCCGACCCTCTCTTACTCCAATCTGTACATACCAGGTCTTCCTCACTCGCTTTCTGTCTAAAAAATATTTTTTCCAATTGGGGGTTGCCCCCTCTCCAAGTGCTCACAGTATAACTAAATAATACACACATCTAAACCAGAAATATAAAATTATGTACTCCCGTATATTCTTTTTGTGGGATTTTATATCTTATGCCAATATTTCCAATTAATTGCGACCAATCAAACTTACTCTTTTTCATATTTTTCTTTTCGCATATTTATAAAGAACGTTTTGAAGTAAATTTTTAACGCCACGTCTTGAGAATTGACGTTTAAGTATAATTAATGTTTTTTGGAATTCGATAGGGCCCTTGATAAATAATGGTTGACGGGAAGATGCATTTAATCACTTCGAGAATTATATCTCAAAAACACGATATTGCAGTAGATCCCGGCTTGATAAAAGTTTTTCTGAATCTAAATTAACTTCTTTGTATTTTCAACAACCTTGAAAAACAGCATTGACACACGTCAATTCCTCCGAGTACCCATTTACCATTACTCTTTTATTTCAATTTTACTTCTTGACGAACCTACCGACATCAATTTAAATAATCATTCCTTCACCACCCAAGTGTACACTTTCATTCTCCTCCATAATAAAACAATTACCTACAAAAAACCTTCCATGTGCCAGTTTCAACATAACACGTAAGTCGTTTACAATATGTTTCATTTTCATATGTGTATATTCATACATTTGTATGACATATCAAGCACTTCCATCAGCAAAATAGCTTTTTTTCAATTTCATCTCTCTTGTACACTTACAGCCTTACCAATAAACGTAGTGTACAATTTATTCTGTGCTTAAGCCCAGAATAGCGAAAACTCCTACCAATAAACATGGACTAACTCGTGCACGGAATAAGAGGTGTAGTTTCCATGGCAACCGCTAAAATTCGGATACACGTAGTTTAAGCGTGGAATAACCTGGAAATAACCTAGAAATAACCTAGAAATGCGAAAACAGGCCAATAAGAACGAACTGTTTGTGCGTTTCGCTTCATTGTATTTGTAATTTCCAATTCGCATGTACTTTTTCTCTTTCCTCGAATATTTGACAACACAGTTTATTTCGTGAATCATTAATTTGTTCGTATTTGCTTGGACTTTTGGCATTGGAAACTTCGAAGTGATTTTGTCGGAGTTTCTTATCAGAAATAGAAGTGAAAACAGCATTGATGAAATGTACGGACAGCCGATG